GAGAGAGAGCGAGAGAGAGAGAGAGAGAGAGAGAGAGAGAGAGAGAGAGAGAGAGAGAAAGAGAGAGAGAGAGAGAGAGAGCACAGAACACACAAGTTAGGATTGTCACTCATCTTGTTGTCATCTCTAGATCATTTTCTTCTTCTCTGATGAATTCTTAATGTATCAGATCGTTCTGCCACGTATTGCGAGTAGAATTTAAAAACTATCACGAACTTTTCTACTCGTCTGGTTGATTAAATACATGGCTTCCTTGGATAAAAAAGGAGAAGAAAAAGTAGGAAAACGCGGTTAATGCTGGGAATGGCTAACGTGGTTAGATCGGCGTTAAGGACTGAGCAGTTTTCCTTTTGATCTCACCGCTTTCATCTCAGCGATAGAATGGGTATGTGTAGCAGGGTAGGTACTCACAGTTGTAAACTCAAAGTAGTAGAGGCAGTTGTCGTTCAGTATAAACCAGCGTCTTTTCCAGCTCTTATAGCGGCCGCCTGCAAACACACACAGCAACGATTCGAACACAGAGGCACACACAACAGCGACGCCGTCCCTTGTATTATTGGCAAGAGCACATATATATATATATATATACACGTTGGGTGGTTGGAACAAGACACTCCGTAACTCCGTGTGTATGTTCGTAAATTCTTTTGCAGAACTCTGAGATTTAACCGCACCAAGGAGTCGAGCAGTTTTAGCTGCTAGATAATTAATTATTCTCATAAATCGGATGAGTATGTTAGCGGTTCCGGACTCGTTTCCCTAATGACAGAGAGTTCTGTTTCCATAATGGGTTCGTGACGATCTACAAACGTGAGAACGTGAGATACGAACGTGAGAACGTGAGAACGCTAGACAGTAATGATTAGTATGTTAGGATTAGGATCAGCGGCTTAATTCCTGGTAACCGCATGCAAATCAGTTACCCCTACATGCTACACCTACGTCTCACCACCACGCTTGCATGCAAGTCTACTGTGTTAAATCCTAACCATCTGCCGACAGTGGCTGTGTCACCGCACAAGCTGCTATGGGTTAGATAGGATGTTTTCGCATCCAATTGCTATGGCAGTGCGAGAAAAGTGTGAAAGCGCATGTCACGTCATGTCAGCCCTGTTAGTGGACATGCTTTGTCACTGTGTTAGGCAGACGACACAGCTTGGCCTGCTGCTACTCTCGGAGGCAGCGCACCAATCCTGCCTACAATAGCTATCGTAATTAATGTCGCCAGCCAATTGTCCATCCAGCATTAGTTTCGTCATGCAGATAAGCGAAAACCCTAACTTACTCAATTTCGAACAACCTGTAATGTTAAAGCAGAAACATTGCAAATGAAATATTGTTCTTCCAGTGAGACAGAAATGTGAACGATATTGCGCATCGTTTTAGGTGCACGTGGAGTTAAATGACGTAGGAACTGAACCGCGGTACCATTTCAGTTACACTGAGCGAACCAATTACTTTAATTGCGATTGAAAAATACATCGGAATATTCAACCAATACCTAAAATGTTGCTTCTGTCTCATTCCTTTATCCAGCTCCATATACCCTGCCTGCATCTCTCCTTCTCCCCATCTCTCTCCCTCTCTTTCTCTCTCGCTCTGTCTTTATGTGTATATATATATATATATATCTACATATATCTTTATCTTTCTCTCTCACTTTCTTTCTTCTCCACATCCTCTCCACCTCCTTTCCACCCTACCTCCTCCACCCACTTCTACCCCTCATCATTCAACCTAACTCAATTTACGCGACCTATCACCTCCCTGCTCCCATGCTCTTAGGCGCGTATCCTGGATTTTAACACAGGGGGGATGGGTTACGTGCATCGATAAATTGTTTTAATGTTGCAAGTAAAACTAGTAGCGGGAAGGGAAGCGAAACCAAGAATCGTGTTTAATGGCAGACCACTGCTTCAGGTTTCGCAGGTTCTTTTTTAATTTCTGAATGGCAATTCACAAGAGAATACATTTCGCCCCGAATAACGCCCGTTACCCTAGTTTGTTTTAGATAAAAATAATAATTTGTTCATACATCTATTTGGTTTTTTTTTTTTTTAAGTATTCGTTTTTGCAGTCGAAATTAGGGGGTTGTTAGCCACTCAGTGCGCGCTTATATCCTCCCCTGTGTTCCCAGCGTCCCTCCGTCTTACCTCCTATCACCCTCACTGTATGTATCTCTCCCATTTCACTTCCGTGCGAGATGCAACAAACCTTGCTCCCAGAGCTAGTCCATCCTCCCCTCCCTGTCCCTCCCTCTCACCCTCTCCCTCCCTCCCCCCTCTCTCCCTCTCTCCCTCTCACCCTCCCCTGCAGTATAGATGCGTGGTCCTTACCTTGCTTCCAGAGCCAGCCCTCCCTCCCCTCGCTCCCCCTCCCTCCCTCTCACCCTCACCTTGCTTCCAGAGCCAGCCCTCCCTGTCCGGGTTGAAGAACGTGTGCATAAGGTCGTTGCCGTCGTCCTCGGGGATTTTGAACGGCTCCTTCTTGATGCTCTCATACAAGCTCTGTAAAGCAACGCAGCAGCTACTCATAATCCTATCGCAGACTTGCGACTTTTTCATGCAACTCGGCTGCGATTCTAGAATCGCAGTCGAAATTGCTGTGAAATCGCCATATCTGCGGGAACGTGCAACTGCAACTCGTAGCGATTCTGGTTGCTTGCAACGAGTTGCAAGAAATCAAACTGATTTGATTTTCAGCAACTCGTCGCTCCGAAATAGCTTCGAAATCGCATGTCTGCGGGTAGGTATAGTCGCTTGCATGCGCACACACGGTGAAGCGTGCGACCGATCGCATGCGGTTGCAGGTTTCAGCGAACAGCAACCAAAAATCGCAAATCTGCGCTAGGCTTTAGACAACAGCCGCAAACGAGACCTCTATCTCTAACCTTAATAGCTCTACATAAATTATCGTTACTTTAGAATTTAATTTAAAATTAAGTAAATGTGATTGATATGGAAACGGACTTTTTAAAATTAATAGTCATTGTCCATTAATGCCTTCTCCTTTTCTACAGAATGTAGAGATAAAGAACAGTTTTACAAGAATCTCTCTTTTCCATCTGGGAACTCCTACTACATTCGCCAGCACTCTTGTTATTTTACAGTGCATCGTTCTTACGTGTGTACAGTTTGCTACGTGCATGTGTACATGTACGTGTGTTACATGGTTCGCCGTGTATCTTGTACGTGTTGTACTTGTACGGTCGATGTACATTGTACGTCGTGGTGGTACATTTGACGTGAGCTGTCATCTGTACGCTGTGTGTTTTCTACATTCGTGGCGGTGTGTCATTGGTACTGTGTGTGCGATTGTACGTGTGTAACATTTGTTAGTTGGTGTACATTGTTACGTGTGTACATTGCTATCGCGTGTATGTCTGTACGTGTGTACATTGGTGACGCGGCTGTATCCGTGTACGTCGTGTACATGGTACGCTGGGTATCGTGTACGTGTGGGTACATGGTACGTTGTATTGTTGTTCGTGTGGACATTGGTACGTTGTGTCATTGTACGGCTTGTTCGTTGTAGCGTGGTC